ATTCTAAAATATCTGGTCTTGGAGAGGATGTTAGATCATTCCAACTCAAAGAGCTGAATGATGCAGACTTGAGTCCACACCTCTGGTTAAAAGTTGCCATTTCCAAGACAGGAAACAATCCTGACTGGGCAAAACAGCTGAGACTTAATATTAGGATAATGCATCTCTTTTAGTAAAGAACAGCTACATGTAATTATTTATCTTACAGGCTCTGAAAACCTTCTGAATATTGACATCCAACATGGACACATTTGTTGTTTCACATGAGAAATTTCCATTCTTGCTGGCTTGAAGTGGGTGGGGCTCAGCTGGAAAAAGGGGCATGTGCACCAATCAGCATTTAGCAACATTTGAAACAGAACCTGATGACGGTTACTCTGCTCAAACCACACCCACACAGTCCTAAAGTAGCAGCTTAAAGCCCAGATAAAACAGCCTTTCAAGAGTATCAAGCTTCAGTATTGTGACATGTTATCAAGTGAAACAGGATAGGCAGGCGGGATTTGACCGTTGAAAAGAGGTTGTTTGTCATAACAGGTGTCAACGGTGTCACACTGATGGGACAGTAGGGTCTGTCAGGGAGAGAAACTCAAAGCACATTGTATGTTCCATGTCAGGTAGAAACAGTCCACTAGCAAAATGACTCGCACATAATCTCGTTTTTTCGCAGATACCACGCTCCTCAAAGTACATAAGTTATAGCCTTGCAGGCCTGTAACCATGGTATGCTGGGGTCCTGATGTGCCATCCTGTTGCTAGCCAGCTAACTTAATCATAGCTCTGTTTGACTAAATGTTGCAGACTGATTGATGGCTAAATGGCACAATATTATTGGTTGAAATTGGTTGGTATTTTTTGTATGCTAACATCGTTTTTTTGGTTTACAGGAAGTGGGGTTTTTTTTTACATATTGATAAACAGGAGCAGAATCTCATACCTAAACGACAGAATAGGTCGATTTCAACTTACATGACCAATCCCAAAACGACAGTCACAGTTTTAAACACATCTTTAACTTCATGAAACAGTCGCAGTTCCGCTCCAAAACTACTTGCATGATATTATCGGCATGTCACTGGTATCAGCCGATATCAGCTTTAAAATGAACTATTAGAATCAGCCAACATGTTTTTTTCTTATTTTGCACAATGAATAAATATTACATACAATGAAAATTACTGTATGTCATGTGTGTACATGTATAATATGATATTAATTCCACTATAGAAGAGACTTGATGGTCGCTAAAATTAGGTAGGGAAAAAAGTGGATATGTTGATAGCGGTATCGGTTATCGGCCAAAAACGTTATAGGCATGACAACATATCAGATATCGGCAAAAAGTCGAATAGCATGCATTTCTATTACTTGGTTAGGTTTAAGTAACAAAACTGCGTGGCTAGGTTTAAGAAAGCCATCATGGTTTGCCACTGATTCAGTACTTTTTTTCTTTTTTACTATTGTCCCGAGACGTATATGCGTCACTAGCGTAGTATGCTACACATACCAGCATACTAGTCCACGTTGTAATCAAAAGAAGTCAACGTTGACTTTGGGAGGCAACATGTTCTCCTGGGTGAAAGTCCTGTGTTTGTTTTGTTTCTGTAATACTTACAGCAGCCACTAAGGGGTACTGCCTTACAATTAATGTGAGTATGTGTCATAGTAAGCTGCTTGCACTGTCGACCTATGTGGTTGTTTTTTGGGTGAAAGCGGGCTATGCGAAATATGATCAGGCAGGTGATCTAAAAGGTTTAAAAGTTATTTTTTTAATTCAATCGTGAGTGAAATCAAGTTTGAAAGCATTTTGGGGGGGGGGGGGTTTTGCCTATATTTGATAGGACAGATTTAGCATGGAGGGGGTGAGAGGTCGAGATGACCTGCAGTGAAGGCCGGCAAGCTGGAATTGAATGTGCAGCTGCTGCCACAAGGACGCAGCCTTTGTACATGAGGTGCCTGCTCTACCAGTTGAGGTAGTGGGCGCCACATGCATTAATGAAAAATGCCTAAGGATAATTTTGTTAACACAATTTTTGCTAATTAATTTGTGACTATCAGTGTTAGAAATAAATTCTTGAACTTGAAGCCAAGTTTTCAGGTGCCGTAAAGGAAAATACCGCCTGGTTTTACATTACAGTCCCTTTTTTTCCATTCAAGCCATTACAGTTTTGCAGAGACTTTCTAGACATGGATAATTCATCAACGTGACCATAACATCACCTTTAATCCTTGTAAAAGTTATATTATTGTCAAGTGAACAATTTCCAAATTAATGTCCTCTCATAAACTACATTCAAATCTAACACTACAGCAGGCATCTGAGTCATTAATGCACTGGGATACAACATGCAAAAACACTGGTGATGGGCTCAATAGTGCTTTGCAGGTAATAATTTGCATCTACTTCAGTCTGCTTTTAGCATCACATTTGAAGTGTTTACTGCATCCATATAATTCAGGCAGTGTCAGGCAAGTTCCTCTCCTTCACAATAAAGGCCACATGCCTCCCCTCTGATGATGTAAACTTTATGGAAAATGTTATATTGTGGGAAACGGCGCCCATCTGGCACCTTAACAGACTCAATCAAAGCAGAAATGGAATTTGAAATGATTAAATGAACCTTGTCTGGGGGAAGTTATGAGAATATTTCTCCCATAAACTGTGAAATAAAGAAAGACTCCGGTCTCAATACAAAGCCAGCAGCACAAAGAGATGAGATTTCACATTGTGTATGTGGCTCTACAGGTTGTAAGTTATAGATGTATCCATGTACGAAATGATTTCCACCTTTTTATTCAATGCATTGAATAGGATAAAGAAAGAGAAGACTTATCAGTTTGGACCCTGCTCCTCTTTGAACTATTAAAAGTATTTATATGAATGTAAAATTCTCCACACAGTACATTTTTTATGACATTAATGAAATTACATAAACCTGTAGTCTGTAGTCTTGCATTGTTAAAGCCCAGCAGTATTTCTGGCAGCTTTTCGAAGCAACATTTCCTGATATCCACTATCTTAACCCAAGTTTAAAGAGTTTAAAATCTGTCCTAAAAGCCAGTCACACCTCTATGACCCAGTCAAAACAACAAATGCCAGGGGAGAGAACAACATACAGCAGATCTAGTTGGTATTTGGAGGTTTAAAAAGACCAACAACCCTGTTTAATACATTCAAATTACTTATTTTAAAAAATGAACATTGACACTTATTAACAAAAAACACCCAAAAAGTTGAGCTGTCGGCAAGAGAAGTATTGTAGATGATTCAACTCATCAACTTGCAGGGGACAGCCCTAGTATGTAGGCATTTGTATTGACTGTGAAACTAAAGTGTCATGAGTAGAGTGGGTATTTCTGGCAGCTTTTGGTGCAACATTTCCTGATATCCACTGTCTTAACCCTGTGTCACCAAGTTTTAAAGGTTCAGTATCTAGTCACACCTCTATGACCCAATCAAAACAACAAATGCCAGAGGAAAGAACAACATACAGCAGATCTAGTTGGTACTGGGAGGCTTGAACTGCTTGTGAGCTGCGTTCAAGCTCCACAAAGGACTCTGCTCCTCTTTGAACCACTAAGAGTATCCATATAAAAGTTAAATTCTTTCATACAGTACTTTTTCCTATGAATTTAATGAAATTACATGAACCTGTAGTTTGTAATCTTGGATTGTTAAAGCCCAGCAGTATTTCTAGCAGTTTTCTGAGGCAACATTTCCAAACATCCACCATCTTAACCCTGTGTGCTCACGTTTTAAGGGTTCAAAATCTGTCCTGAAAGGTAGTCACACCTCTATAACCCAATTAAGACATCAAATGCCAAAAATCTAGTTGGTATTTGGAGATTGAACTGCTTGTAAGCAGCGTTCAAGCTCCACATGTTGAATAGGATAAAGAAATAAAAAACTTATCAGCTCAGACTCTGCTCCTCTTTGAACCTCTTATTCAATCTTTTTTTTATGAATTTACTGAAATGACATGATCCTGCAGCACCATTTCCAAACATCCACCATCTTGACCTAGGTTTTAAGGGTTCAAAATCTGTCCGAAAAGGTAGTCACACCTCTATGAACCAATTAAAACAACAAATGCCAGAGGAAAGAACAACATACAGCAGATCTAGTTGGTATTTGGAGGTTTGAACTGTTTGTGAGCAGCGTTCAAGCTCCACAAAGGACTCTGCTCCTCTTTGAACCATTAAAAGTATCCATATAAAATGTAAAATTCTTTCACACAGTACCTTTTTAATGATGTCAATGAAATTACATGAACCTGTAGTTTGTAATCTTACATTGTTAAAGCCCAGCAGTATTCCTAGCAGCTTTTTGAGGCAACATTTCTAGCGACCACTGTTCTAACCCTGTTTTACCTAGTTTTAAGGGTTCAAAATCTGTTATAAAAGGTAGTCACACCTCTATGACCCAATTAAAACAACAAATGCCACAGATCTAGTCTGTTTTCTAGTCAGTCTTTGAACCATTAAAAGTATTTATATGAATGTAAAAATCTTCACACAGTACCTTTTTTAAATGAACGTGAAGTCTGTAGTCTTGCAAAGCCAAGTATTATTCCTGGTAGCTTTTTGAAGCAACATTTCCTGATATCCACTATCTTACCCCTGTTTCACCAAGTTTTAAGGGTTCAATATCTGTCCTAAAAGGTAGTCACACCTCTATGACCCAATTAAAACAACTAAAGCCAGAGGAAAGATCAACACACAGCAGCTCTAGTTTGTATTTGGAGGCTTCTGAGCTGCGTTCAAGCTCCACAAACTTTCAGCCAATTTCACAATTCCCATTATAATGAAAAGCCCCCGTAAAAACTTCATTACTCACGTTTAAATGCATGACACTGTTCAGAGGATTGAGAGGAAATTTCGCACTCGCCAGTGTGGGCTCAGAGCATTAATTTCTCATCCTTTCAAAGTTGCTGGAAGTCAGAAACACTTTCAGAATCATTAACTGCTGTGTGTGTTGTCTTTTCAAGCACTCATCCTACCTGTAGCTCGGTTAGTGGCGCGCTGCGGTGATATTTCCCTTTAAAAACACATCCTTGGCATGTTCCTCTCAGTCCAACCTGTGGCTGTGTCACTGTCTGGCAAACTAAAAGCGGGCCTTGATCTTTTGTGGCGTTCCAAACGACCTGAAATGTGAGCAAGTCTCTTTTTTTAAACCCGCAGGCAACAGGTGTTCATTTCACGTACAGGTGACAGTGAAGCATCGACCCACTTTGCTGCGCCCTCGCTGAGCTCATCACAGTCCAACCTCCCCCCACCTCCTGCTCTCTCCTCCTCCTTTGCCTGCTGCTGTTTCCTTATTGTGTTCAAAAGACTGAAACCACATTAAACTCAAGTTGCCACCACAGCCTTTTAAGCCCTTTAATGTTTAAGCCAATGCAGGTTTAATATAAGAGTTTGTTTGTGCAGGCAGAGGATGAAAAGGCGATTTTTTTTTAGCCTTTAATCCCCTTGATGACACCCAGTTTAGTGGCAACCACAAGGGGGTGTCCTTTACCTGATGTTGGTGGCCAAACCAGGAGGGAAAAAGTTTTACTTTTTGGATCGATGAGTCAAACATCCATTATATACACACACACACACACACTAACATTTGTTACTAATGAAGTGACAGCAGTGGCTTCCAAGATTATTCATAGATGTCACCTTTTGGGAATGACAGTGCAGTAAACTGCTCCTGGTGTGACTTTCACACTCCTTTGTGATGGTTGTGTTTTTGCACACTGATAGTCTGTTTGGCACCGAGTGAGGCTGTTTATCTGTGAGAATTTATCACCAAAAAGAAAAACAAGTTCCCTTTGTTTTTGTAAATGATGTCAGAAATTATAGAGAAGTAATGTTTTTTTCGCTCTCTGAGCAGAAACAAAGCTGTTAAAACAGACAGCAGACAACACAGATTTGTCTGTTTTTCATATTTTCTTTTCTGTATTCATGTTTTTTTTTTAAATGATACAAATAAAATTTCAAAAAAAGAAGGAATTTATTCAATTGTGTTTTTGCATCTCTCTCTTTTTCTAACTTCTGGTGTTTTGTGTGTTTCCAATACCTCCTGTCATTTGTTTTATGTAAAGTCTAAGTCAGTGGTTCCCAACTGGTCCAGCCACGGGGTCCAGATTTCTCCTTAGTCATTCAGAATGGACCCAGGACCCACTTCTGAACCACTATCCACCAGTTAGGAACCACTGGTCCAAGTAACACACATTAAGTGTTGTTGTTACGTAAATGCCTTAAAGGCCCAGTTTAGGAAATAAAAAGGTATCTGTATCTCAGAAGTGATATATATTATTCATGACTATGTTTTCTGTATGTCTTTCTGTTTCTAGAATCTATGTGAGCATAAATAAGATACATAAGTATTTGAATTTTAGCCGCCACTGAATACTTAATTTTGAAAATTACACACGTAGCACAAAGGATTCATAGCACTGAAATATTTTACTCTGAAAACAATGTACTAGAATTTATGTTCAAAAGTTACCTCTTTGAAATTAAAATGTGACATTTTGTAATATGTAATTTGAAAAACTGAATTTGAATATACTTTTTTGCCATGTTCGCAAATTCAGATCCAAAAATTCAAGTTGAAAATTTTCAAAGAGCAATATCAGGTGCCATCACCCACACATAAAGAACACAAACTATTTTTGGGTTTCAATTTTTGAGCTGCTTTCTTGGGTCACATGACAGACAGACTGTGCTCTGATAGGCCAGAAGTTCGTTAGATTGCCTATGCTGTCCTGGGTAGTCCAGATGGTCAGCTGAACTTTTTCAACTTGAATTTTTAGATTTGAATTTGAGCAACCTGAATCCATTTTTAATCTATTTTTTTTTTTAATATCTAATCTAAAACTTGAATTTTTGGAAGTATAATTTTGAAATTGCAAATCAGGAAATTTCATCTTTCAATTTTGAAGAGGTGAATTTAGAACAAAATAAATTCAGACACATGGTTTTCACAATTACATATTTCAATTAAATGAATTCAATGGTGTTTGAATTTCAATATTAAGTATTCAATGGCTTTTACAAATAAATAATTGTATTTGTCTGCATAATAATCACTTGAAAATAAAAAAAACCTGCGTGTTTTCATTACCTTAGAACGAGCTGTTTATATCTACATGTGGAGTGGGTCCTCTTCCACACAGTCGGCCATATTGTCTCTACAGCAGCCCAGAATGGACAAACCAAACACTGGCTCTAGATAGGGCCATTCACACTGTAGCTCTCCTACATACATGGCCCACAGGAGTAGCTTCAGTTCTACAACCTCACCACTAGATGCCCATAACGCCTCATTTCCACCTATGCATGTGTACAGAGATGAGGCAACAGGAAGTCCAGTCATTCCTATGGGAATCTTGTGATATCCGATGTGCCTCTGAAACTCCTCAGGCACGTTCAAAAATGTAACTTTTGGGGGGGATTTCGTAGAGACCGTATAACAGTGTGCTAGCTTAGCTAACAGGCTGCTAACTGGCTAATAAGCCATTTTCTTCAATTCAGTTGCCTGTGTCAAGTAAGTTTGTGTGATTTAAAAGAACTTGTTTTCTGGTTTTAACAAATTGTGAATCTGAGTAATGGTATTCTGTTAAAATATGGCTATACATTATATACAGTCAGATTGTCAGTATGACTCGTTCATGCCACGCACCTGGCAGAGCCAGTTTCTGTTCCGGTAATGCTCCAAGCGCATCATCCAAACTACTGGATGGCGAAAACTGGACAAAATTAGCCTCTACCCCATGGCTACAGGTAGTTTCTGTCAGGTTTCTATCCATCTGTAAAGAAATGTACTTTCTTCCACTGGACACTAGAGGCATCATCTGTATATTTACAAGTCTACGGACACCAGTCACATATGTAAGTGGAAATGAGACACAAGTCCTACACACCTGACCTTTAATTCACAATTTATTCCCATTGTAATCATAATCGCATCTGAAAAGACAGAGAATGAGAATGAGCCTGACTGCACTCAAGAATCACACATAAAAACCTCCAGATTTGAAATCAGATTTCTACTTTTATTTCATTTTTCTTAATCAAGCAAATGTATGTAAAAATACATCTTTCTCTGATATTCAAAACCCAAATGAAAATGCACAAACAGCAATACTTCATACAGGAAGTAATACATCTCAGTCAAAAATATACTCTACTTTGACAAAGTAATCGATCTTTGGATAGTACTTCAAATATAATCCCTCGGGGGAAATGCAGCCACCCAAGCTTTGCATTAAATCATACAGACTACGGTAACAAAATAAATATTTGTTGAGGATACACTATGAAACAGCTCTGCAACTGTGCAAAGAACACAAAGCTTCTCAGCCATCCAGGTCATGGACTTTGGAGCAGTAGTACGTTGAAGGCATCCAAAAATGTTTCACCACTCATCCAAGGCTCGTTTCTTGAATAAGAGGTAAGCATTGCACATGTGGCTGTACTACTGCCAGCAACATGTCCTCTACTCATTAAGTGTTTGGTTCATTGTTGATAAAACTGAATATAAAAAGCCTCTCAGGATCGTCAAGCTTTTGTGTGGAGGATAATAAAACACAGAGCATTGAATTAACAGAATTATAAAGATCAGCAAAACATTTAAAGTCTCTGAGGCAGAACAGTAGTAAAGTTTGCCTTGTTTGCTACATACATTCAGAAACTCAAAGTAAACAGCAGGCAACAATCTCAGGATGCACGGTGTGGCAAAAGGAGCGGATTCTTCACCAATCAGCAGTTCGCATTTGGTTCAGTCGCCAAAATCCGGGATGTCGTCGTAGGAGTAACCCCGGTAACCCTTGGCAGCGTAGTAGGCGATTCTCAAATGGTAAAATCCAGGAAGGAAAACAAGTAGCCCGATGATGATGACGGGAATGGTGCGGTCTCGATGCTGAAAAGTAAAGAAGAGCAGGAAATGGATTTGAGGAGCAGAACATGTGATGAGGACATTTCTTTATATGAGAGTTTTCAAGCCACTGATCTACTTTAGGTTTAAATCAGACCCTTTATTTACTCAGAAACATCACACACTGGAATACCGTACTTAGTAATAAAGTGCTGGAAGATCACAGAGTCCTTAATGTACTCATCAGGCTTTAACATGCTTATCACTGATGCCTGCAAGTAATGACTTGAACATGCTGTGAATGAAACGGGTGTGCAGGAGGCACACAGGCATGATGACTTCATCTGTCTGGGGTCTGGTTTCATGTATGTTATTAGTCATTTCATATAAAGGCAGGCGAACCACCAGGAGGCACAGGCAGTCCTTATCAACGCCAAGTGAAGTGTTTCATTTCACCACCAGATGGCAGTGTTGTGCACTGAGTCACTGCAGCCTTCTCTAGGTCTCTCTTTTGAAGGATGCACTGCTGCATGAGCCACGGCAATGGGTGCTATCTTAATGCAATGTGTAGTATCTATTGAGATGTATGTGAGGTGGTTTTTAAACAGTCAATCCATCCAAATCACAAAAACAGATAGAAGGAGCTGTGTTTTTGTGGTTTGGCAAAAACAAAGCAGGAACAATTTATGTGCATATGACTGATGTTATACCTGTCCTAAACATGAAGGAGCCTTATGAAAATGTATGACTGCTGTGATTTAGTCAGTCAGTTATGACATTACGCTGAAAAATACGCCTGTAGTTGGTGTCCAGGTGGGAGATCCTCGCACCGATAAGGGCCAACAGGTCCTCAAACTGGGCCAGCGTCAGCCTGAAGTACCGCTGGAAACGACCGTCATCCAGACGCAGCTTTTGCAGGAGGTGATGATATTCACCCAGCTGTGTGCGTTTCTGGAGGATATTGTGAACCCAGACACGACGGCGTTTGGGTCTCCGATCCAAATCAGATGTCTACAACAGATAAAGAGCAGCTACGTAGTTAACTCAGCCATGGTTGACGAGAAAATAGCGGGAGGAGGGTTGCGTCATCGCGATTGAAGCGATGAAGTGATGATCAAAAAGGTGACATTTGTGATCAAGCGACGCGATACTCGCGTTACGGGCGATGACATCGCGTCCATCGCGTTTGGTGTGAACGCACGGTAAGGTGTATAGAGCTCACCTCTCTGCCCTTCCATGCGCCTACATGGAAAGCCTAAGGCAGAGAGCACTCACCTCTCTGCCCTTCCATGCGCCTACATGGAAAGCCTAAGGCAGAGAGAGCAGCAGCAAAGACCCCCCCAGGAACAGAACAGAGCAGCATCAATGACAAACAGAAATGACATTGATAAGTCAGACACAGCATGAAAAGGAGGAGCTGGGGTGGAGGCTGGCTGCAAAGCGACTTGCAGAGGAAGCAGCAACAGTAGGCAGGCCAGAGAAGCTTAAATAGAGCGCCCTGAATGAGATTCACCAATTGGTTGCATCTTCTGTAAATATCAGTCTGTGGTAAATATGGAGAAGAAGTTGTATATTTTAGTGCAGAGCTTCCAGAGCTTTTCTTCTGTCACACCGACAACAGGCCACAATTTACCGCTAAAAGTTAACCTGAAGAAATATTTAGCTTTGTGTTAATATTACACTAAACTGTAACATGAAGCAGCATCATAAGTGATGCAGGTGTTGCGCCAGACCAACGTGGTGAAGAAGGAGCTGAGCTGAAAGGCAATACTCTAGATTTGCCGGTCCATCTATGTTTCAACCCTCACCTATGGTCCTGAGTTTCGGGCAGTGACCGAAAGATTGCTGATAAAAGCGCTGGACATGACTTTCCTCTGGAGGGTGGCTGAGTTCAGCCTTAGAGACAAGGTGAGGAGCTAAAATATTCAGAGGGAGCTTGGAGTAGAGACGCTGCTCCTTTTTATCAAAAAGCGGTCAGTTGAGGTGGTTTGGGAATCTGATCAGGATGCCTCCTGGGTGCCTCCTGTTAGAGGTTTTCTAGGCATGTCCAAAAAGTAGGAGACCCCGAGGTAGACCCAGAACACGCTGGAGGGATTTTGTATCTCATCAGGCCTGGGAAAGCCTCGGGATCCCCCAGGAGGAGCTGGGAAATGTTGCTTTGGGGAGGGTTGTCAGGAATATCTTCCACAGACTGCTGCCCCTGCAACCAAGCCCCGGATAAGCGGATGAAAACAGGTGGATGGATGTCATATGAGGCTCAGCATGAGTTCAATCAGGGCAACTACCTCTATGCTTCATTCATTCACAATTCCTTTTCTCTACCTCAACTTTTGCCATGATCTCTATCAGCCAATCATGTCGCTGCTGTCAGACTGGTCTCCTCTCTACTGCTGTCAGCTGTCATTTTAGTTGAAATCGCTGCCCCTCCTCCACCTTGTTCTTCCTCCAACAGAGGATTCTGACATACTCTCAGCACGTACATCTTGTACTTGGGGGGAAAAAAGGATTACTTGTTCTTCCTGAGAGGGTACCGGCATATTCTCAGCACCACCCTTTTTGAACTTTGGGCAGAAAAAAACAGAATTCCTCAAACAGAGGGTTCCAGCATAATGTCCGCACATACATTTACTTGGGCAAAAAAAAAGGATTACTTGTCCTTCCTGAGAGGGTACTGACATATTCTAAGCACCATCCTTTTTGTACTCTAAGAGGGGGAAAAACAGGATTCCTCAAACGGAGGGTTCCAACATAATGTCCGCACATACATTCTGTACTTAGGGGGAAAAAGTGGATTACTTGTTCTTCCTCAAACCGATGGTTCCAATATTTTCTCAGCACGCACATGTTGTACTTTGGGGAAAAAGAGGATTACTTGTTCTTCCTTAAACAGAGGGTTCTAAAGTAGTCAGATTAACTGTCTTGTTTGCTTACCTCTCTCTTTTATAGTTTTTCTTCCAGAGCTTTTAATTGCGTCTCATGCTCTTTATTAGCCTGAGGAAGGTGCTCAGTTGTCACGGAGTTGCCTCAGTTGACACTAGATGACAACAGTGCTGTCTACTTGTGCATGAGAACTGAGCAAATTCCATTCAGTAATGATCACCAGGTGATGCAGATGAAAGCTCTGGAAAAAGGCCTAAGGTAGGACATATGTTAAAGAAACACTTGAACCATAAAATGATCATTTGTTTTAGCCTCTCTGCACAGGTTACCAGATGTATTTTTTTATTTTTATTTTTGTATGACCCTAACTGTTTTTGTTTGCCTTGGGGTAATCTTCAGGGCAGTTAATTGCCAATATTGCTCAACTGTTTCATTGTTGGCATTTATCTTTATTTTCTTTTTTTTTCCCATCTACTTTCTGTATTACTGAAACTGCCTGATTTTATGTGCCTAAATCCTGCAATGTTTAAAATTCTAGTTAACCAGGTGCTTTGTAAATTTGTTTTGAAAAGTGCCTTCTAAATAAAGTTTATTATTATTATTATTATTAAATTTCTTATTTTAATATTAATTACTCACAGCATGTTACCTTGAATTCATTAAGAAAAATTGTTTTTTCCCCCTCATCCTGCCTCCATGGTAAACAGAGAATCCCAAAAAAGCAAACATTCTTCATGAATTAAAGTAAACAGGGACTGAGTGTTAACAAAAGCCAGACTATTTAAAAACATGGTAGGGGCAGTGGATGAATCCAAACAGCACAGGACTTTGACCAAGGAAGGAGTCATAAGTGACATCAACCATGATCTTTTCCTCACCCTAACCAAGTAGTTTTGTTGCCTAAACTATGAAGACCCCCTGTGTCAAGATTTATTTATTTATTTATTAAACAGGGACAGTGCACAGCTACTTAGCTGCACCAGAGTTAGCTATAAGCTAATTTTCATCTGTAGTCCCTGGGCAGGAAACAGAGAATAATTTCCCTGCTAAAAGACACTATTATATAAAAAACACAATTACAAAATAGAATATATTCATGACACAATGGCTTCAGCAATAACAACAGCAAGACAACACTACATCAAATCATGACAGCAATGAAAGTAGCAACAACAATAAAACTACGACATGAAATACAATGCAAATGGCTTCTGCTAAAACGTCAAAATATGATGAGTAGGGATAACATTTAGCTGTATTTTTTACATTCAAATGCTTTTGTTCAGCTTTTACAATAAAGATGAATTGGGATCTTTTTTGAAGCAGTTATGGCAGAAAGATTTAACTGGGTGGCACGTGGTGCAGTGGTTAGCACTGTCGCTTCACAGCAAGAGGGTTCCTGGTTTAAACCCAGGGTGAGGAGCTCAAACCCTGGGGTCGGGGAGCCCTTCTGTGCGGAGTTTGCATGATCTCCCTGTGTCAATGTTAGTTTTCTCTGGGTACTCTAGCTTCCTCCCACAGTCCAAAGACGTGCACGTTAACTGGTGACTCTAAATTGTCCGTAGGTGTGAATGTGAGTGTGAATGGTTGTCTGTCTCTATGTGTCAGCCCTGTGATAGTCTGGTGACCTGTCCAGGGTGCATCCCGCCTCTCACCCAATGTCAGCTGGGATAGGCTCCAGCACACCTGTGACCCCTAACACAATAAGAGGTTACAGAAAATGAATGAATGAATGAATTTCAAACCATCAGTTTACAAACACTCATACGACTCATGCAGTAAAATCCAAGTCTCATTTATCCAGTCATATCCAAACACATGCATTTTCACTAAAAAGTTACAAGATAAAACAGGTAGCATGTCCTGAGCAATCCTGAGCACACACTTGCATATGAACTGTGCCTGAGCACAGATCAAACAAATGCATGTGTACAGGCACACTACTTAGCTGTGCATGTAGCATTTGTACTGACGTGTTTTAGAAATGTTTTGCAAAAATGCATACATTAAGGACCTACTATGCCCACAACTGGATAAATGGGACTTGGATTATACTGCAGGAGTTGTGTGAGAGTTTGTGAGCAGATGTTTTGATATAATTTGCTTTAATTCCTTTAATTCATGAAGAATGTTTGCCTTTATTGGATTCTGTGTTCACCGTGTTGAATTCAAGTTAACAAACAGAGAGTAAATAATATGCAGTGTCATCTTGCAGGTGAACTGACCCTTGATTCTTCAGGTTAAAATACAACGGTTTGAAACCTGAATTATTGGTATTATTAAAAACTAGTTAAAGTAAAGTACAGGATTAATGCATTCCAGCATGGGCTTCATTTTCCTTTAATTTGACACTGCAATGGTTGACTGCGTGTTTAGAATCTCTTTTTACAGTGTTGGCTGAAGACCTTTACACAGCTTCAGTTCACACCCTCACACACACTTAGACAATCTCTATAGCCAAAACCAAAAAAACTATACTATACCACAGTCTTTCAACCTAAACTCCTACAGCGTCTTGCAATAAAACCTGCCTGCATCCCATTTTTCCTTTCTCCATTGCCTGAATATTAGATATGCTATTTCAACTTGCGTGGGCTGATTGGCAAGTAGACGGCTCAAATACTCTGATGCTGCCTTCATGTCAGATCAAATTTTGTGCAAATACAATCTCCAGACTGGAAAAAACATTCACATTAACCTCCTACTGATAGTTACAAATATAATATGTGCAAGCTCCGTTATCTCCCACATGGAGTCATGATTTCAGGAAGCAGACACCGCAGCAGGGGATCTACTAAAGTTGGCACTCCGAGGTATAACATATCAAAATCATTAGTTAAATCAAACACACACAAAACCAATCATGGCCAGGAAAAGCAGGAACGCAGCGGAATACTGGCAGCAAGGCAATAAAACGTCAAGACAACAGTTCAATTTCAGCTATTTAAAAACAAGATTAACTGCAGCGTGAGTGTTTTAATTACTGCATGAGTTGACATTTTGGAGGCTGTATTGGCTCTCAAGATGTGTCAAAACTGAGGCTGGGCTTCACACTGCAATACTTTTTTTGTACTGACTGAAATGTTTTCATACTGTGGCACCAAGAGTCGAAAACTGTCAAGTACCGAAAGCTGGCACTGAGTGTCTGGTCAGATTAACTGTCTTGTTTACTTATTCTTTGATCAGATAGTTCCTAATTTAAATCAAAGTGTTGCAGATTTTAAGGCTATTTGGGCAATTTTTTGCATGATGCTTATCTTCAGACAGCATTTCACATCTCATTTGATACTAAAATTAAAAGAAACTTGTGAAAAACATGTTTATATTTCTCAAATTAGGGCATCAAACAAAGTAATTGGACTGAAACTCGCGCTGTATCGACACTAGTATTGATCCAAACATCACTCATCTCTGGTCAAAAGAGCATCAGTATCTGTGAACTGAAGGAATGCAAACCTTTATCATTATCTTTTACCACACAGCAAGAGCAAAAAGTATAAACATTTCCATACAATCATCATGACGGCAAAAAAACAAATGTAAAGAAACACTTTACACTTACAGTCCCCCAGTGAAGGCTTTACTGCTTTAAACCTCCTTTGTCCCCTTGTCTATTAGAGTCTTCAATGGGAAGCTAACTGTAGCTTAACCATACAATGTATACAGTATCTCACATAAGTGAAAACACCCCTCCCATTTTTGCAAATATTTCATTGTATCTTTTCATGGGACAACACTATAGTAATGACACTTTGATATAACTTAAAGTAGTCAGCTTGTATAGTAGTATAGATTTACCTTCCTCTGAAAATTACTCAAAACACAGCCATCAACATCTAAACAGCTGGCAACATAAGTGAGTACACCCCACAGTGAACATGTCCAAATTGTGCCTAAAGTGTCAATATTTTGTGTGCCAACCATTATTATCTAGCACTGCCTTAACCCTTTTGGGCATGGAATTCACCAGAGCTCACAGGTTGCTTCAGGAATCCTCTCCCACTCCTTCATGATGACATCACGGAGCAGATGGATGTGAAGACACCTTGCGCTACCCCACCTTCAGCTTGAGGATGCCCCACAGGTGCACAGGTGAGTTTAGGGCTGGATACATACTTGGCCAGTCCATCACCTTCACCTTCAGCTTCCTCAGCAAGGCAGTTACCATCTTCTAGGTGTGTTTTGGGTCATTATCATCATTATTATCAGCACATTGACTTGAATGGCCACAATTAGCTCTGGCACCCACGCCTCGGCTGGATCACCCAAACGAAGGATCCAGTGGACATCCAGCTTTACAGTAACAGTCCAGAGGAAATGAAGCATACGCCATAAAAACATAAAAACACATACTACACATTATAGTATTGCATATCAGCCATTCACGTATTGCACATAACAACAGTGCACAACAGTGCACCATAAGCAAAACACAACACAACCCCCGGAGTATGAATGAGTTTCACTTTTAGTTCAGTTCCCCTTTGGAAAAGGCTGTACTGGAGCATGCGACTGGATAAATGAGACTTGGAATTTACTGCACGAGTTGTGTGCGAGATTGTAACCAGATGTTTTGATATAGTTTTGCTGTTCTTAATCGCGGACCCCTTTTACTTCAATTCATCAAAAATTTTCTCTGTTTTTGGATTCTTCGTTCAGCGGAGGCATTAAAGTTTTCATCACAAATTAAACATAACACAGGGTGAGTAATTGATATACAAATGGCCATTTGGGGGATTAACTATTTCTTTAGGTGCCATGCTGACTGTTATAAGTCAGATGAGTGATGCCACAGTGGTATCAATCTTGTTATCTAACTCTTAGCAAAAAAAACATGCTTAACTCCTTTTTAAACACCTCTGAAGGCAGTGTGATTAATCAAACCGCCTTCAGAGGTGCTTGGAGACACATTTTGGACACATAAAAACAGATATAAAAAGCTTGTCTATACATATAGGAGCAACATAAAAAGGGATATATCTTCCAAGCAGGAATTACTCTCAGAACAGACAGGAGGCAGGCAGCTCAGACAGAAACATTCATGTCACTAAAGGATTTTCAGGAGAACAAGCCTGACAGGGTACTTACTGTCAGTTTTAAGGGACCCAAACATTATGTGAAAATGTGACACGCTTGACAATAAGCTCTTTGGCAGTGGAGCGAGAAAATGCATTTAAATTTCTATACTGGGGACACATTTCAACTGCAGTTCAACTATACTGACTCCAGACAAAACCTGGACCTGTCACCCGTCTATGTAATTTGCCATTTGAACAGATTTTATTACATTAAAAGACCAAACTCACCTCGACCTTTATGGTTCCAGACAGAAGAAGAGCCCCGAACACTATCAGTAAAGAGCCGATCAAAAACAGGAATACTGCTAGTGCAATCGCTCTGTACGGGACCTTTGGCGGGCTTTTCTTGAACTGTAAGTGTTCAACATACAAGACATTTAATTTGATGAACTTTTTTGTTAACAATAGTTGACACTGACAGACACAAATCAGAAACAAAAAGTTTAGCAGACTTGTTCTAATGCAGCCAGCTCCTCATAGCCCCTCTTGTATAATCATAGAGGGCTTTGGCACATTCCCAGGAAGTCATTAATTGGGATTTACCTCGAATTAATTGCCTGTGGTAATAAAATGATTACTAATTACCAGGCTGCTGAACAACCCACAGGCCAGCACGAGACATCAGAGACAATGTTAGTTTTGAGTTAAGAGGAAGAAGTTGCCACTCACCTGTAAGTCTATGTAACCGTCATCATCAGCAGCCAGCCGTGAATACTTGACCTTGTTGTTGGATGCAGCAGCACCCAACATATTGTTCCTAGTACCCATCATTATGGCACAGGAGCTCTTTGGAAAGAGACAGGGAAAGGTTATCATTTATAATATCTCAGCCCAGTCACCAGAAGAAAATATTGGCATTGCATGTTTGTGCAAACCATGGCTATGTTTTTACATTTCATATGTATCATATCAACATTTCTGAACTGCTGTAGCCCTGATTACATGTATATGCACTGAGCTATATGAGCATCAAGAGGTGAAGGGGGTGGTGGATGGAGAAATATGGGCAAGACAGGTGCCAAGCTCCAGACCACTGTTCAAGACAACAAACAAAACTGGTTGTTTTTTTAGCAAGATATTGTTGTATTCTCAACTGTGACTGTGCCACCAAAAATTTTTTAAGAGAAAACATGTTTTCCTGACCATAACCAAGCAGTTTTTGTGCCTAAATATAACCACATAATAACCACAGCTGGCGTTGCAACGATATATCCTGAAACCATGTATTGTGGTTTTAAAATGGATGGTTATCATGCTATGTACATTTGCTTATCTAGCGCTTTGAAAAAAAGTAAATGAATGGACAATCTCGTCTGCACATGAGCATCTCCTTTCCTCCTCAACTGCCTGTCAGACCTTTTACATACAGTTATATCACAGAAAATGGTTTCAAGTTTCAATTACAATAGAACATCTATCTCTTTTCATTGCTTTAAGGTAGGGCTGCTCAGTTATGGCCAAAAATGATAATCATGATTATACCAATCAATACTGAAATCGTGATTTTTTTTATCACGATTATTCATTGTTTTTTGGGACAAAATATTTTTTAATTGCACTTTCATTTTCATTCATTCATTTTCTGAAGCCACTTATCCTGTTGCGGTCACAGAGGGGCCGGAACCTATCCCAGCTGACATTGGGCGAGAGGCAGGGTACACCCTGGTCAGGTCACCAGACTATCACAGGGCTGACACATAGAGACAGACAACCATTCACACTCACATTCACACCTACGGACAATTTAGAGTCACATGCAGCAAAGGGCCACAGGCTGGAGTCGAACCTGGGCCGCTGCGTCAACAGCCTTGTACATGGGGCGCCTGCTCTACCACTAAGCCACCACCGCCCCAATATGTTCTCTCCTTAATCCGAAACACTTCCAAACAACAGCTGATGATAGTTAACGAACAGATGATTTTCATTTTGCCCGTCTGCAGTTACAACATTCAGGAAAGTTTTTCACAGGCTGCAATGATGGCGTACTGATTTACAAAACATGGCCCAATACATCCATACATTTCAGATTAAGTTGTAGCTATCACTGAATAAACTCTTTGTTAAAATCTGCCATTGTAGATACTCATCTGATGACGTATTGCCGTAAAATCATGCTTTGGGCAAAGCAATTCCAAAAACAAACTACAGTACACCTCTCACACACAGAGGTTAGAGGTCAGAGGATGCTCATCCCCTCTTTTCATTTCCACCCTGTCGCCTCTGTTTGAGAATATAAACACTGATCTGACCTTTTCATTCACCGTCTGACACAACCTTCCAGCATCTCCAACACTCACTTTCACTGTTAAAACAAGGGCAAGTCCACAGACTGTCTCTGTTTAAAGTATTAATTAGTAAAATGAGATGTTTGCAGCACGCTGTCTGAGCGGTTTGGTAAACTTCTGATCTTCCTGTTTTTCTACAAAACTTGTTTATCTACAAAACCTGCCCAGAACAGGGATTTAAGGAATAATAAGACAATTTACTGAGATTTAATAGATTATCACTGCTCTATCTTATGTGGCATCTTCATGCAAACAGAGAGAGCAACAAGAAAAATACCACAGCACTGATCTGCGCCAGAGGGACTGGGAGAAGTGTGCATATACATGTGATCTGATCTTCCTCGAGGCCTAAGTTTTGTTTATTTTGGAGATTTCGGCTCGGTGCGTACTTGCACTTGAGCCCCCCGGCCACAGGAAAATAAATCCACAAATAAAAACCGTTGTTCCTGCTTGAACAGAGGACGGAGGAGCTTTCAGACGCATTCTGTTATTTTGCTGGCAGCTGTCACATCAACTCGCCACAGAGCTCTGATAAGGAAAGCTCCAGGTTAGAGTCTTTTTTGTGAAGTTACAGCAGTTGCTGCAAAAAGGGAATACTGTGGATTTAAAAAAAATGAGGAGGAAAGTTTTTACAGAACCATTTCTGGATGTCCTTATATTTTCATCAGTTTTTAATACGATATCAGGAACTGAAATGTCCTTTGTTCCACCCAAGCTTGGCTAAATCCTGGAATACCGAACCATTCGACCTGGTGATTCTTTTTCTATACTGTATATTGATCTGACAGAACAAATCTGGCAAGAAAAAAGCAGTCCCATTCTTGCTTACACTGCACCACAAGGGATATGGAAGCTCTGGATCACTGCTATACACCACACAGAGGCGGCTACAGAGGGGAATCACTGGTCTTGCTTCAGGAGGAGTGACCATGCAGCTGTCTTGTTGATGTCAGAATAAGTAAACAAACTATAATGCATGCCCCGATAGATGGAGCCAATCAGAGGCTGCCTTACAGTCCCCACTACATGATGCAGCATGTCATAAGTCAATGATGTCTCTTTGGACTGATGCAATGGAACTAAGGACTTCTCATTTAGCAGCTTTTGCATCCTTGAGTCTCTTCCTCGCATCTTTCAGTCACGTCCTCACTGGGAGGAGCTAAGATGCAAGGAAGAGATGCATGTGAGGGAGGTGAGGAGGCAGGTCAGCATAATGAAAAGCACCCCAGGACACCACTGTCCTGAAATCATCACTATAGCCCTTTTTAGATAGGTTTTGTGCAAATTTGCAGGAAAGCCCAAACAGTCTTTTTTCAGCATTGGCAGTATAAAAACAAAATCGGGGTGTGCGGCATTTTGTTTATACAGAATGCGCTTTTTTCGGGGCAGTGGGGGGTGTGAGCAAGTAACAAAACGTGTAGCTCAGCGTGTGACGTAAACAGTGACGTGGGAGGGAAGCCGCGGCTGGTCAGTCCTTCGGCGATTCTCTCATAAGTAGGCCCGTTCTTCACTGTGCCCGTCATCTGACGGTTAATGGCCTCTTCGTTTGTGAGGGCAAGGAGGACGTGCAATTCCTCGTCTCCCCAGTTGCTCACCTTTACTGTGTCTGTCAGGTTTGCGTTTCCCTCTTGCCACTAGCTGCTCGCTAATTCCTGCTGTTTCCTGTTTATCAACCGCCAGTGGGTCGCACGTGTGGCGTCATCAACAGCTCCTCCCACAAGTCATCAACAGCCTCTCCCGTTGCAGAAGGCAACCTCGTTCTATTTAAACTAAAAGTGTTCTGCCAATATGTCTACCCTACGAGGTGGAAAATTGGGCACCTTGGATCAACTCGCCAATCCGGCTCTGTGTGTCTAAACGCTCGCAGCTTGCCAGCAAAACGACCCAACATTCGTGGAAAATCTTGCAGTGTAAAAGGGGCTTAAGTTTGTAAATCAACTGGACCCAGAACTACAGTTAAATCATTCCACAACAAGAAACCATGGATTACCAGAACCATCCAGGACACCATGAGCACGCACAGTGCAGCCTACAACTCAAGGCTGCAGTCTGGAAACATGGACATTCATAAAGCAGCATCCTATTATGTAAGAAGCAAAATGTTAGTATACATCTGGATTGGGTTAAGAGGGAGAGACAGAACCTTGTGTGCAAATACTTTTTGACAAGAGCAGCATCCTTCCCTAATTAGTTGTTGATGATGGAGGCGGAGAATGCTGTCTAACATGTTGCTCCAAAATCTCCCATAGGCGTTCAATTAACTTGAAATCTGGTGACATCATATTCATACTCATCAAACCATTCAGTGAGCCATCGTGTCCTGTATAGAAGCATCTGCTTTTTATGTATTTATCCACCCATTTATTCAGGTTTTTCCTTTAATTTGTCACCTCTATGTAGTTTGTAACATTTGTAATTTACGTGCTTTGTTATAACTTTATGGTTCCCTTAATTTCTATAATTGCACACACATTATATGGTGTGTTTTAAAGACTGGTGCTTATATTTTTAGATGAAGGTCTTTAAATGAAACAGTTTTAAATCATGAATATAAAATGCAGGAATTTTATTATTTCCACATAATATTTATACCCTTACAACAGCATTTTAGGCCATAATAAATACAGTGAAAATGTTGCAAACCTCTCAGAGGAATGGGGTTGGACAGGGGGAATTTAAGACTTATTAGGCCGAGAGCCAGGTCCAGGCCTCATGATGTTTTCAGCTACCATTTTCGTTATTATTTCCTGTCAGACTACACCTTGGGTCATCATAAGCTGATAACGAGCACCGCCAATTTGGGGCTGTTTGGTCTAAGGGGGCCCAAACCCTCTTCTTTGGGTCAGGTTTCTGGTGAAATCATATAAATGCAAATATTAAGGCTCTACCATGGCATTAATAGTCATGCAAGTATGAAATTTGGCCAGGAGTATCCTGACACAAAGGGGAAAGTAGGAAAATAACATTCTGGGGCTTGCTGCCATTTTATTTCAAAATACCACACATAACACCCCCCTGTCTGTTTGACAAATTCTCATCAAAAGTGATTATTTCTCATCACTCTGTGTTTAATATCACTGCTTCCAAAGTTGATAAGCTTCAAGTAGAAAAGTTTTATGTTAGAAATGAATAGGATGGGTCCCCAGCATTTACAAACTGTCAGATGCAAATTTGCATATGTTCGGAAATATGCATAATTAGCACAGATTAACATTATCAACTGTATAGACTATATTTCAGCAACTGCTTGGCTGATTTGGACAGTATTGGAGTGGTCTGGGGGTTTATTGAGGATGCTGAATCCATTTCTGACAGTCAAAATTAAAAACAGTTGTTTTAACCAGGTGTAGCCATATTTCAACTCGCAGGGGGCTGATTTTGATTCAACTGAAGTGGCTTTCGAAGTTTTAGAGGACTCTAAATCGACTGGATTGGACAGGTTTTAAAACACAACATACTCAAAATTAGCAGAGACGAAAACTAACCTATATGTGCACTTGTTATTCACACAACACATTACAACTGAAAACCTTTCATCACGAAATAGTGCCTTGCACTTCTACAACTCTCCCAAAGTACTCTGACATACACTCACCGGCCACTTTAGGTACACCTGTTCAACTGCTTGTAAATGCAAATAGCTAATCAGCCAATCATGTGGCAGCAACTCAATGCATTTAGGCATGTAGACATGATAAAGACGACCTGCTGAAATTCAAACCGAGCATCAGAATGGTTGTTGGTGTCAGAGGGGCTGGTCTGAGCATTTCACAAACTGCTGATCTACTGGGATTTTCACACACAACCATCTCTAGGGTTTACAGAGGATGGTCCAAAAAGTGAAAATATCCAGTGAGCGCTGTTGATGCCAGGGGTCAGAGGAGAATGGCCAGACTGGTTCAAGATGATAGAAAGGCAACAGTGACTCAAATAACCACTGGTTACAACCAAGGTCTGCAGAAGACCATCTCTGAACCAACAACACGTCCAACCTTGAAGCAGATGGGCTACAGCAGTAGCAGACCACACCAGGTGCCACTCCTGTCAGCTAACAACAGGAAACTGAGGCTACAATTCACACAGGCAGAAGATTGGAAAAACGTTGCCTGGTCTGATGAGTCTGAATTTCTGCTGCCACATTCAGATGGTTGGGTCAGAATATGAAAGCATGGATCCATCCTGCCTTGTATCAACGTTTCAGGCTGGTGGTGGTGTAATGGTGTGGGGGATATTTTCTTGGCACACTTTGGGCCCCTTAGTACCAACTGAGCATGGTTTAAACACCACAGCCTACCTGAGTATTGTTGCTGACCGTGCCCATCCCTTTATGACCACAGTGTACCCATCTTCTGATGGCTACTTCCAGTAGGATAACGCACCATGTCACAAAGACTGGTTTCTTGAACATGACAATGAGTTCACTGTACTCCAATGGCCTCCACAGTCACCAGATCTCAGTCCAATAGAGCACCTTTGGGATGTGGTGGAACGGGAGATTCACATCATGGATGTGCAGCCGACAAATCTGCAGCAACAGTGTCAATATGGACCAAAATCTCTGAGGGATGTTTCCAGCACCTTGTTGAATCTATGACACCAAGAATTAAGGCAGTTTTGAAGGCATAAGGGGTCCAACCTGGTACTAGCATAGTGCCCCTAATAAAGTGGCCGGTGAGTGTATATCTGAAATCATGGCTACCTCAGTTCAGTTACAACAAATTAAATGCATTTGGTTTTGCTTTTTACAGGCTCCTGACATGGTACTTGAACATTTTAGCTCACAACTGTTGTGAATGACATGTATGAAGTATTAGCATAATGGTGTTACTCTTATGCAGTTACATAAATATAAGGTGCACTGTGATGCTTATTTAACTGTCCTGCAACTGTGCCATGTCACATAAAGTTTTATACTATAAAATATTTTAAAAAAAAGAGAAAGAAAACGCAGCATAGTGTTGAATCACACCCAGAAGCTTGCATTCATAATCCTCCACTTGATAACTATATGACTGTTACACATGGCTAATTACTGCAAATCCCTTCTGTGCGTCAATAACATCATATAGCTGGGAGTTTTGTAACGTAACACAACAGCAGACAAGTGTTAATGACAATGTTGACAGCTGAGTGAACTGGACAATTAACCTGAGCTGGTTGTTTATGTCCAGTAAACACTCGTCCATAATTAGCTGCAGCATTAGCTTCTTACAAGTTAAGCTATCAAAAGCTAGCTAACGCGACCTGACATGCGCAAATACTTTAATTTAAAGCTCTTTTCTCTTCTTCTCGTCACTGTCTTACCTTCACTTGAGGTTTAGTGACACTGTCAGAGTTGTAATGCAGCGCAGACTGCTCCTGTGTGGTGCCACATCTACGTTGTTTCCATTGATGAAAATCTGAGTCAACTTCCTTATTTTTCTCGCATTGCGCATGCGCAGAAAAATCTTATCCTGCTCCTTGTCCTGTTGAGGGTCACAGGCTGCACGTCCAGCATGTCCAGGAACATCCCGGCTGAGTACAGTGAGTTAATAATCAGTGGTGTGTTAAAAGAAGAAGCCAGATATTCTTTTTTCATTCAAACATTCCTCATAGGTCTAAATGTTATTTGGTACCCAAACTTTGCAGCATTAGTGGTGAAAGCAAACAGGTCAGTCCACTCATTATGAAGTTATCTGATTTCCTCTGAGATGTTTTCTGTCTTTGGATTTTGAATCAATAGCTAGCCTCACTAAGGAGACTCAAGTCTGGCCTTTGCTTTTAATATTCAGCAAATTTTAGGAAAAAGACACCAGGCTGTAGACATTTAAAGCACATAGCTGGCTAGACGTAAAAAAAAAAAAAAAAACCCACTTTAGGTCTACGACAATGATAAATGAAAATTAAAATGTTAAAATCTGTCCAGGCCACAAGGAGCCACTGGAGAAATATTCACTCACAAGTGTCCTTTCTTAAAAAAAATGTCACCCGCTTTAAAAAAGTGCAGAGGTTATTTCAGCTACATTTACTGAGACCAGACTAAAAGATTGCACCTGAATAGCCTCTTCCTGATATTTTGTTATTGTGTTAGGGTGAGGTCGGATCATTTGGAGCACTTTTGGTAGAATGCCAACAAAAAAAAAAACACTTGAAACTGTAAAGACTACTTTAAGTGTTAAGTGACATTAGAATTTCTTATGTATCTCTGCAATATTTCTCTAAAAAAGCAAAGTAAAATAAGAAAGTAAAACACATCAAGAACCCTTACCTCACTCCAATGACATGCTCAGGTAAGATGGGAGAGCTAGTGAGGTAGATTTAGACATTCATGCTTTTTTTTTTTTTAAATGCTTAAATCCATTTATGAGTTCAGTCATTAATCCTTTGAAACCTGAGAGAAATCAGCTTGATGTATTTCAAAAACATGGGAAGAAGGCAGCGAGCAACAGAAGAAGAAATGATCCAAAAAAAAAATCACGAAAGAAATTAATAAGCAGAGAAAATTAAAAACAGGAAAATTAAAAGTTTAAAACAAATAAACAAGTAAATGACCTGGAAAAATGCTTAAAAATTATAATACTTCTGGAGCATAATCTTAAAATGTAATAATAATAATAATAATCTTTTTCCCTATTTTGGTTTTGCAATTTTTTTTATTTATTTTTTTTGACATTTCTCACCAAGTTGCTCATTGCCCTTTCCCCATGTTTTTGAAAGAAGGCGCACTGATCAGCTCAGGATTCAAAGGGTTAATTCATTAAATTATGTATGTAACCTACGTATTCATCAAAGAAGACTTTTCTGCTGCCATATTGTCTACAACAGGGGTGTCAAACACGGCCTGGGGGCCAGAACCGGACGCTAAAGGGTCAAATCTGGCCCACTGGATGACTTTGCACATTTAATGGTGATGCACTTGTGAAAACTAAGACATGCTAAGTTTCAGGAGCAAGATAAACAGTGAGTAGTTTCCTTCATGTAATGTGCTGCTTCAGAGGCTTTTCCACCTGGAACAGAATACAGTTCTTTTCTTTCAATTTAGTCTGCGATTAAATCACACTGTATGTGGCCCATGAGCTAAAATGACTTTGACGCCCCTGGACTACAATGTGTGCTTGCATGCGTTTGACAGTGAGAGCTAATTCTGGATTATTCTGGCTGACATGGATTTACTGCATCAATATTTTAAGTGACAAAAATACTAAAAATATATTTAATATTACAGGTGGGCACAAAATAGCATAACTCAGGATTTTATGTCACATGGAAGTATATCAAAATGCTGGTTTCACTTCAGCTCCTTATTTTTGTTAACTTTAATTTTACCTGAATGCCTTAGGTACTCACTCAAACCCTTTCCTATTAAAAGCAAAGTATATTGTGACTTTTTTTTGTATTATTTAATATCTTTTATTGAGCAGATGGATTCCACATGTAATCAACATCTACATTTCAGGCCCATTTTCTTGAATTTAACAGTTGTGCACAATGTCCTGAGATCAAAAAGGGACCAAATGCTGTAGTAGACACACTGGTAAAATCAAATAAGGTAGTAAAATTATTGCAAGTACATCAGCATAAAATAGTATGATAAATAATGTCCCCAAAGTCGCAGGGCTGCCGTCCCATACCCACATCACTTGTCCACTCCTCCCACCTCCCTCCACCCACAGAGACCTTTCACTCTTCAGTCATCTCAGTTGGTGTACAGTGTGTACTGGGGCTGCACTGTTGTGCTAGATTTGCAGTTGCAAGATAAGATATGAGGAGGTTTCCAGGCTTTATTAAATTGTTGAAGTCTATCTTTCAGGGCAAATCTTAATCTTTCCAAAGGGAGTGTGTTTGTTAGGTCCCTGAGCCACATCTTGGAGGTAGGGACAGATGTGTGCTTCCATAGTATGGGAAATAGTTTCTTTGCCGTCATGAGGCAATAAGAGGGAAAATGTTGCTGACTTTCTGAAGGTCTCAGATATTCCAAGAATAATGAGCAGAGGCTCTGGCTTAATTCTAGTGTTCATGACCTCAGACATTATGCTGCAGATATCAGTCCAAAAAGGTTATATCTTTGGACAAAGAGTGTTGCCACAGAGGACTGACATTTGTCACACGTCGGCGACACCTCTGGGTATATACTATGTAGTTTCTCCTTTGAATAGTGAAGCCTGTGTTTAATCTTAAATTGGATGAGATGATGTTTTGCTTTATTTGAGCAAGTATGTATTTTTTCAAGGCTTTTTTCCCATAAATCATCTGACATTGGTTTGTCGAATTCTTCCCACTTCTGCTTGAAATTTTCGAACGAAGGAGAATTTGTTGATAATAGAATATTGTACATGTGGGAAATCAATGTACTTTTATTTGGTGACAGTTTCAGACTATCATCTATTTTTGATTGTTTCAGTTTCAAAATCTTTTAAATATTTCCGTATGTAATCTTGAACCTGTGGATAACAAAAAAAGGTATTATTCTCCAGCACAGTGCAACATATCTAGTCACTGGTTGCTAGTATTAAACCCACTGAAACCTGGAGTGTCATCACTTTGCTTGTGCTGCTTTCAGATACCGTCCGCAAGTATTTAAAGAGATCAAGAGGTTGGTTGGTTGGTTGGTCGGTTGTAGGTAGGTAGGTAGGTAGGTAGGTAGGTAGGTAGGGATGGATGGATGGATGGATGGATGGACCCTTTGAAACCTGGAGTGTCATCACTTTGCTTGTGCTGCTTTCAGATACCTTCCGCAAGTATTTAAAGAGATCAGGAGGTTGGTTGGTTGGTTGGTCGGTTGTAGGTAGGTAGGTAGGTAGGTAGGTAGGTAGGGATGGATGGATGGATGGATGGATGGACCCTTTGAAACCTGGAGTGTCATCACTTTGCTTGTGCTGCTTTCAGATACCTTCCGCAAGTATTTAAAGAGATCAGGAGGTTGGTTGGTTGGTTGGTCAGTTGTAGGTAGGTAGGTAGGTAGGTAGGTAGGGATGGATGGATGGATGGATGGATGGATGGATAGATGCCTCCAGACTTCAGTACAAGCAAAAGTGCAAAAGTACAAGACGAACACAGAAAAGGTGTCCTACCTGCTGCAATATACAGCCGTGGTAACTCAGTTACATCAATACAACAAAAAGAAATTTCAATTATGAGACGTCTCTTTCCATCCTGGACATTTTTCCATCATTCAGTATGAGTGTTTCCTTCTCTGCCCTCTCCTTGGTCCCACTCCTCACCTGTCATTGTCTTTCAAGGGTGTTTCTGAATGTGTTTTGAAAAAGCAGCCATGTCCTCCTCACATGTCCTTCAGTGAACTGAACATATTCTGTGCATTTTGTCTTTACATTCATGTAAGCCACGCAGAGACCATTTTAAGGCAGACAAAGGGTAACTGAAGGGTAGGCACCCTTCACCCTCCACTCAACATTCTGAGCAGGTAGTCCTTAGAGAAAATAAATAATCCTTGGGTTTGCCAATGCTGCTTTCCCTTTTGTTACATTTCCATTACACTCCTCTTTATTTGTAGCTTCATGCCTATATTTCTACTCTAAACTCTATTTTATCCCCAAACTTGTCTCTGTAATCACATTCTAGTCTATTTGCTGATTGGCTCTGCAGCTGTACTTTCAGAAAACGATCCTCTCTGCAAAGCGGATTGCCTGTCATGACAGTCAGTCACATTATTAGTGTTGAATTGATATGGATTTTTGAAAGCAGATACTACTGCTAATGTTTTTATTAATAAGTTGTGAAGAGCTGGGACTCTCAGAAAAGACATTTATTCAGTATTCCCCCGGGATTTGTTTTCTTTGTACTGTGACAACTCAATTTGAGCAAAAGAAAGGACGACTGTCTCGTCAAACCCACACAAACTCTTTGGTATTTGATAGTGATAGAAAACAGACACAATGCGGCCTTTAAGGAACTGTGAAAACTCCGTCATCTTATAGTAATCTACTTTCTGTCTTGATAAGTGAATGCACTGTACAGCAGCGGAGAGGTCGTTCATTACTCTGTGACATATTATCTGGTGTTTGTGCTTTAAGACCCGACTGTCAGCAACATTTCATCAATCTCCACTTGAAATTGGTCGCTTGTTAGAGTGTCAACTGAGTCATCCAGCTTTGTTAGATACAGACATTTAGATTAGAAAGTGCTATAAACATTTATCAATCCGATTTAGAGAAATGTAGCATGTTCCCATGAAATCATATAAACTGAGGAAAAATATTACTAACGATTGTTTCACTGCTAAACTAATCAAAACAGCCTTTGCAGACTAGCAGCAGCATTAGCTGCCACCCTGCAGGCAGTGTTTCTTCTTGTATCAGTGGGAGTCAGGATCAGATAGGAAAAGGAGGAGAGTTCATACAGCTCGGGAAATCCTGATACAATTATGAATAATTCATCTTTTACAGACAAGCCATTATCACAGACACAAGAGCTTCAAGTGT